CTGCTGGCCCAGGGGCCGGGGGCTCCTGCTGCCGTGAGCACAGTAACTTCATGTGAAAATGGAAATGCTGGTGGCTCCAGAATGCACACAGAGAAAAGCAGAGGATTATTTTATCTGCATTTCCAGCCCTCCGTTCACCTTGTCCATGTTGAGTTGTGTCTTTCCAAGGGGCCCCTCTGGCAGCGCCGTGCCAGCGACCCGGTGCCCTGTATAGCAGACTCTGGGCAAATGGAGTTTTCATGTATCATTCTGAATAGTTGAAATGTATATTTGTACAGTCTTTTAGACCTATTCAAGTGAAGCTTATGGAACTGTTCTTGTGTACCCATCATAGATCTGTTTCTCTTTTTTAGTGTTGCCCTGCTGTGTAATAAATGCTGTATCTAGTTTCCCTAGCAAAGCTTGAGACTGCTCTAGTATGAATTTTGACAGACTTAGTTTTTGCACATAACCTTGTACAATCTCCAACCAGAGGCCAGCAACATAAAAATATATCTGGCCTTTGTTGTATTATAGAATTTTCTTGTTCTGAATATCCTTGACATGACAACTGATGACAAACATATTTCAGAGCCATTTTCTGAAATCTTTTAAGCTAAAAAAGAAAAATCACATGCAAGAAACAAGTTTGCAGCTACTAATTTTGACACCTTTTAGATCTGTATAAAAGTGTATTGTGTTGAAGCAGCACACTGAGACAAAGTGCTGGGTTTGGATATTTAGTTTTATCTTTAGTTAACACCAACAAGGTGTTGTATTCATTTATACCATCTAATATATGACACACTGTTGTAGTATGTATAATTTTGTGATCTTTATTTCCCTTTGTATTCTTCATTTAAGCATCTAAATAAATTGCTGTATTGTGCTTAATGTAAATATTTGCTTTATTACATGCAAGTGCTCCATTCCTGGTTGGTAAATCCAACCTCACTATATCCATTCCTCCTTTTTTGCCTCTGTTTTTCCAAGTGCTCCCCAGCCCTGCTGGGGCCTCTCTGTTTAGTACTTACTGAATACTTATCTCCTTCAAGGTTATTGAGAATCTGCAGAGTAACTTGGGCTGAAATGTGTTGTTCCTGTGCAGTGCTGTAGAACACGGTTATAAATAGCAGTGTACTGGTTTGCTTGTTCTGCATCCTGGGGAAGGGAGGTCTGGGAATTCCTCAATGAATGGAGATCTGGTTTCACCTGGAAAATCCTCCCCCGAGTGTGCAGAGCTCTGGGCCTGGGGGCCAGGAGGGCAGTGCTTGGGAATGCTGACCCTGCCCGCAAGGGGAGCACAAGCCTGGAAGGTAAAGTCGATTGGACAGCAGAAAAACTGAAATGGAGTTTGTTCAAAGCTGAGCTTGGTTTGGCCAGGCCAGGCCTGCAGTGTGGCCTCTGGGCAGGGGCCTGAGGGGATTCACTGAGGGGACTCTGCTGTGATGAGATCAGAACTCTGTGCAGTGGGGAAGTGCAGCAGCTTTTATCTGTTTAGCAGTGACACAAACAAGTTGGTGTCCTCTTATCAATGTGCATCACACTTGTCTCAGTACCTGCTAAGGTTATTATTAGCAAACCTTATAGTTAAAAATCAGATTGCAGTGTTCTGAAGTCCTGGGTGTAGTCGGTGAAATGTAAGACTGAAATATGAACTCTTTAGTAGTGTTTCATTTGCCAGAAAATTCCAGGAAATACTATTTTATACAGTGATTAAATTAAAGGTCTTGTACTCAACCATTCTCTTACCAGGATATCAAGAAGGATGGAGGGTGGTTATTTAAAGTCTTGGCATAAACTTTCTAGTATTTCAAACCAGTTACTCTTCAAATCTGGCTTTGAGGCTGTTCACTGATTCCTCTCCAGATTTGAGGCTAACCACACTTTTGAGGAAGTCAGAAAGGGGAAGAAAATACTCAGTAAAACTGGAAGGACCTTAACCCCATGTGTGTAATTTAGGATGTGGTACCATGAGCTGGATGGGCTGGAAGTTCCCCGTGTTTCTCAGCCCCTCTGCAGTCATGGGCAGATCCCAGCCCCTCGTGGGGCAGACCCCCAGCCTTTCCCAGCCTATCCTGGGGGCAGATCCCCAGCCTTTCCCAGCCCCTCTGCAGTCCTGGCAGATCCCCAGCCTTTCCCATCCCCTCCTGGGGCAGACCCCCAGCCTTTCCCAGCCCCTCTGCAGTCCTGGGCAGACCCCCAGCCTGTCCCAGCCCCTCCTGGGGCAGACCCCCAGCCTTTCCCAGCCCCTCCTGGGGCAGACCCCCAGCCTTTCCCAGCCCCTCTCGGGGCAGACCCCCAGCCTTTCCCAGCCTATCCCGGGGCAGACCCCCAGCCTTTCCCAGCCCCTCCCGGGCTCGTAGGGAGCCTGCGCTGGCCCCGGGGCTTCGGGAGCCCCCCGTGTTGGTGCTGTGGCTGCAGGCTCGGGCAGAGCCGAGGTGCCGGAGCCCCGTTCCTGCCCTGAGCTGCTGTGCTGCAGCCCGGGCTCTTTGCTGCCTTTTCCTGCTGCTCCTCGCTCCTTGCCTGCCCTGCTCCCGATGTCCCGGCCGGCAGGGGCACGCAGGCAGCTCTGCGGGCTCCGCTCTGTCCCTGAATCACGCCCCAAAGCCGCCCTTCCCCTCAGCACCCTCCTGCAGGGCCGTGGCTGGATCCTTCCCCTCCTCTGCGATCGCTGCTCAATCAAACCGTGTCTGGTGTCAGCTGTGCGGGGAAGGTTCATTGCTCCAGCTCTGACCCTCGCTGAAATCAGCTCCAGTGCCATCTGCTGCTGCTGTCCCTCTGTCCCGCAGTGACAGCTCCCCAGCAGCAACTCACCAGTCAGGACTTGCACCTTTGACACGTATTTTCATGGCAAACCTGAATATTCACTCAGTATTTTTATAGGAAAATGCTGTTATTCTTGCCACTAAGAAATAAGCAGGTTTCAAATACTCCCTTGTAGTACAGTTATAGGAAAGTTTCCCATTGTGTAGAACACATTTCACACAGCTGTGGTAGGAAAACAAATTAATTTCCATTTTAGTCAGAACCAAGAGATTTCAGGAATATGTCATGTGCTTTGTCTCTCCAGTTTCGTTAATAAAGAAGCTGATATTTGCATAAGCAGGTTGGTATAACTGGGAGTATTTTGTTCCTTTTATAAGTGATTTGTCTCTCTGTAACCCCAGCTCGTTTGTGATGATCCATTACAAGAACCTGCATTGCAGGGGCAGAGGCAGCCACTCACTCTTGTCTCTATTGCTTTATATTTTAATTTGACTTTATCTTTCATCATCAGTCCCACTAATAAATATGAAAAGGTTGTGTTCATTTATTTCTGCATCAGAAGAGCTTTGGTCTCCATGGTTACAGCCATGCAGCTTTACTTTCACCATAAGCTTGGTGCTTTTTTTCCCTTTACAGACTTTGCAGTGGGTTCTCCATCTTGAGCTTTTCCACATGCATTTTTAAAACAAGCATTTTTTTCCATTTCTCCCCATTGTACTTGATGCACAGCCAATAATCTAAAAGGTGCATCCCCTCCTCTCTTCCCTATTCAAAGAACTGAGGGTGTTTAATATTCCTGGGGCTCTTTTGAAGTAAAAACCTTTAAAATGCTACAGGTGCAGGGATGGGCTGTGCTGCTGGTGGTCCTGGCTGAATCACACCTACACTGCAAAATGGAACCTGCAAAGGCCCAGAACAGCTGCACAGAAAGTTTATTTCTATCATTCAGGTTATATCACACAGCAGTTTGTAAAACACTGCTCCTGGTGCAGAGTGTGCAGGAGGCTTCAGCCAGCTGGTGTTTATGGCATTTTAAAATTCTGCCATTGACTTCAAATTCTCCTGCAAAATCACTGTTTGTGGAGCTGGCACAGTTGGCACAGGACTGGCAGGTTTGCACTAGAGCACTCTCCAACCCCTGATCATTTCAAATATTAAACATGAAGGTCAACAAAGTGAGATTTTGGATATTGTCTTCACTGAATTTGGAAGCTCAACCAGGTACAGACTCCTGAGATCAAATCTTGGAGTGAATCTTCCCTCTCCACACACAGAGCTAGAGCGGGGTCAGAAATCTGTGCTGCCCCTTGGAGCTGCCAGCCAAAGACCTGAGGTGTGACAGAGCCAGGGTGTCCTGAGGGATGAACCCTTCAGAATAACTCAGGCACCTTTCCCCGGAGCCTCTTGGTTATCAAGAATGGCTTACGCTGACTTTTGGTACCAACGCTGTCCAGGAGAAAGCCTTAGCTGGGCAGGCTCTGCAGGTCAGAGGGGCGAGGTGCTGGCAGGGCAGGGCTCTGAAACAGAAACAGGGCAGAAATTCAGCTCCTTGCTCAAGAACAGGAAATAATACTTGAGGGAATTGTCTGCTGAAAGAGACCGGGGGGGTGGAATCATCATCTCAGAACTGAAGTTGCTCTCCAGTAATAATAACTGACTTTGTAAGCAGTGCTGAAAATGTGAAGTTGTTTACTCTCACACCTGATTCTACAGACTTGGAAATCATCTTAGCTGGGTTAATATTGAACAGATAAAAATAGAGTAGAACACTGGGGAAATTAGTTTTAAAGCACAGAGAAATGCAAATGAATTAATACCACTGGAAAATACTGACTACAGAAGAAATACAGAGAGGGATTTGGGTTTGCTTCTGGGGTTTTTAAGAATTCAAATAATTGATTAATCCCGAATTGAGGAGATAAGTAATTTCTTTCTGTAGTGCAGCAATGCAGAGCTCGAGCTAAAATCCTGGTCTCAATGGAGAAGGAGCCTGTCTTTCCCCTGAGGTTGATGCTCTCCAGGCTCTAAACTTCACCTATTTCCAAAGGCCAGTTTGCTATTTAGATTAAATCCTCCCATGTATTTGTGTGCAATTCTCCTCCCCGTGTTTCATCACCTCCTTCCCATGGGCACAACTTTCGATGTAACCCAAACCCAAGTTTCCCTTCTCTGAGACTCAGCCTTCACAAGCACTGGTAAGACAAGCTGGGGAATCTGAACTGACCATGGAAGGGCTGCTAGTCATGACCTGCACCCCAGTGGAACAGAAAGGACAAAAAGCCTGAAGCAAAAAGCTGTGAGAATATCCAGCTGTAATAATTCATGGTGGGATATGAACACTGTCACTCTCTCCCCCAAAATAAAAGTAGAGAGAAGGAAAAGTTACAGACCACTCCAGTTTTCCGAGTAAAACATCCCTCATTTTCAGGGCAGCACTGCCAGTGGTCACCCCGGGATCGAAGGGGCAGAAGTTGGGCTGTGAATGACAGTAATTAAGGTTAACGAGCTGGGTGCCAGTCTGTTTGCAGAAAGCTCTGGCCAGAGCAAGCCGGCTTCACTGGGGCACAGCCTCTCCCACAGCCCCAAAGCAGCCTCTGCCTTTCCCAAGCTCATGAAATCTCTGTCCCACTCTGCTTTGTAACCTGTTACTTGAGAGAGTGACAGCACTTACTACCCAAAACTCCTCCAAAAGATGATGCCACAGTTGCAATGAGAGTTTAGTATTGTTTCGATCCCTGTGATAGTAAATGTGATGCTTTGATGTCTAACACCTCACCCTTTCTCTAACGTTGAAACTCTTTTGACTCACACCTTCCCCTCTGACCTGCAGGCGCCAGGTTCTCTGCACCCCCTTGCCATGGGGCATTTTGGGGGTGACTCCCAGAACCGTGCCATAACCACTTCCAAAACTGTGCCATAACCACTTCCAAAACTGTGCCATAACCACTTCCAGCACCTCTCCTCCTTTGGCTGCATCCCCCAGACTCAGGGAGGAACTCCTGTTAGCAGCCAGAGTCAAAGGAACCACTTCACTCTTATCTGAGTTCAGCTGCTGAATCCCTGGGAAAGGAGAGGCCAAGATCCCATTCCACACAAGGTTTCCCAAAGAGGGCCCAGGAAAGCTTTTCCAC